GAAGAAGTAACAAGCTAGCTGGTAATTCAGCAGAGCAAGGCCTGATTTTATAGAATAAATATACATTATATAATAAATAACAACATATTAATATTTCATATAATAAATTTTATCTACATATCTATATAAAAGGCCTTTGTTTTATAATAGCTCTACTTGTATGCAACACTTAAGTCCCAAACAAAGTTGCTGAGATCTGGATTCAAATAATTATTCTGTCTCCTGAAATAAAAATAAATTCACTACTTCCAGGGACAGAGAACCCAATAAAGACCATGATTTAAAGAATTAAATATACATTTAAGCAGGCAAACATACTGAGGGTCACTGAGTGTATCAGCTGTTTCCTTCAGAAGGTGATCTTGAAGTACCTATGGGGGAAAAAATCATGCATATAAACACAAAGAAATCTAATACTTATATGTGAACAATATAGTTCCACACATTATTCAGAGACAGCCCCACAATAAAATTTCACAACCTCTGAGTTGTCTTTCTAATATTTTTAGACATGCTAGTAAACATGTTAGAAGAGAATTTGACTCATGGTGAACATAGTAGCTGCGGTACTGTCTGCACTGAGTCCTCCTAACACTTAGTAAATTGCAGCCCTATGCCAAGGTGCTCCTGCTAAAAAGAAGCCAAACTGAAGCAAATCAAATCAGTTAGGTTTGCACACGATGGGCCAGCAATGCAATCTTTGAACTTTTTTTAATTCAGTCCATTGAGTTTCCTATCTGACTGGCAGAAGAGCATAAGGGCCAAAATTAAACTTCTAGATGCTGAAACACTGCTCAGCATTCTGTATTCTTTTTCACTATAGCTAAACTACTCCAGCATCATTATTCCAGCTGTCAGCAACATTATGTGTTGACTGAACATCATTACATAGGAAAGCACACAAAGAAATTCACTATTCATTCCTTTGGTTCCAGTCATTCTCATCTCAAGTCCAAAAAAAAAAAAAAGTATTTTTTTCTCTGCACTCATTATTTTTCTTTTTCATATTTCCTTACGAAAGAAATTCTTCCCTGTGAGGGTGGTGAGGCACTGGCACAAGTTGCCCACAGAAGCTGGGGCTGTCCCATCCCTGGAAGTGCTCAAGGCCAGGTAGGACAGGGCTTGGAGAAACGGGGTCTAGTGGAAGGTGTCCCAGCCCATGGCAGGGGGTGGAACATGAAGACCTTTAAAAAGTCCCTTCCAACGCAAACCATTCTCTTCACAGGGGCAAAGTTTCAGGCAAGAAAGAAATTTAACCGTGAAGAACAGATGGGGGAATGATGACTTTTAAACTCATAACAGAAGTTGACATATACAGAGCCTTAAAGAAATACAAAAGTAAACTCACATTAAGAATTTCATCCTTACAGAACACTAAGGCTTCAGGTTGTTTGCTCGAAGGAAAAGCTTTTTCAAAAGCTACTTTTGCAGCAGAAGCAGCAGGGGAGTAAGTGTCACACTGAGCAATCAGCCAGTAACCCATTATACTTTTTAAGTAAGGAGCTAAGTGTTTTTTTACTTTAAGAATCAGTTGCTCAAAAGATTGCTGAGTTGCTTCTCGAACACGGCGATCATGATCCTGTTAAACAAAGAAAAGAAGGAAGAAAAGAGAAAGGTTTGTTAGATTAAGAAATCTACCTTTGATTTCAGGTACTTCAAAGCAAAAGTGGTGATTAAAAAGCCATGTTTGCAATTAATTGGATTTGAAACACAGATTTGAAAATACACACCAATGACAAAAAAGTTGTGGTATCCCACGGAATGGGGAGAGTCCTAATTTAGTAGCATCATATTACCAAACTGTTGTCCATTCAGATTGTAACCTTTCCCTGATATCCCTAACAACAGTTTTTGTTTCCAATTTATACAAACATTTTACAGACAGACAAGAGGCAGGAGAAACAGGAAGCCTTGAAGACATCTTCTGAGTTAGAACTATCATAACCTATCCTTTATTTGAATATGAATTTACAACATCATGATTTTCCATACTTTTGACTCCAGAAAGAAACAGTAGGAATTACTCTAATGGGTAAGAATAGTAATTCATTTTGTTCCATACCAACAACAGTAGGCATTCTAGACAGCTTAGAAATAGAATAAATAGATAAGAAACTTGTTGCTAATCTGGCTGCACATGGTCTTTTCATATTTGGGTTTGGGTTTTTTTTTTAATGTTAAGTCAGGTCAGATATTAGCCCTAGATCAAGAAAGTTTATAACTATGTTAACTCTCTAGCCTTTTTGGAATCCACATAAAAAAACTTCTCCTAAGAAATATCGTACCATCTTTTAAACATAAAGGTCTAACTGACCTATCAAGAAAGAACAGCCCAGAATCAACAGTTCAAGATTCCACCCACTACAAATAATGAAGTATGTCCACAAAAAGAGCAGTATTTTCCTTCAACTTGATGTTTCTCCTAGAACAAGTCAGGAATTTCAACAAAGGTAGATAGGTCAACAAAGACCACCTCAGATGTAGTCACAGGAAGTAGACAGGTAAGTTTCTAATTTAAATACTTCAATACTTACCAGTGAAATTTTACAATAAATTCTTGGCCAGTAAGGAAGAACACCTTTAACAACTTCTGCTTCTCTTTCCTTGCACATCATCCCAAACTCTTGCATAGCCTAAAATCAAAACATCAAGAGCATGACTTAAGAAGTCAGGTAGATATGTTCTGTAATTTACCAGTTTGTATCCGAAACTGCAACTCCCTTTTCCAAAAATCAAATAATTTCTTGCAAATGAGCACCTACAGATTGCATGATAGGCTATCCAGGATATCATCTGTATTGCAGTTCTAGCAAATCCACCAAAGTGAAATTAGTTACTTCCTCTCCTCCCTTAAGAAAACTGTATTATTCTCCGATTAAAAAAAATAAATTATGGGGGGCAAAGGATACACTTACTTTTAACTTGGTTGTGACATCCCTTTTAGAAAGTTTTCGCAACACCATTCGGAAATCAGCATCCACAAGGCTGTTTACTTCCTCTGCTCCTTGAATTGCAGGAACATATCCTAGATCGCTCTGGGACGTTCCGAAGCCGATAAACCCAGGCACTGTTCCACGTTCTTTGGCAAGGAGCTCTGCAGCTCGGCCACTGCTAGAAGGCTGACAAAAGAAAAGGGACAGGAGCCAATTATCGATTTAATTTTATTTTGCACAAATTATGCATTTGAAAATATTTTAAAATTAACCTTCCAATTAACATAAAGCCTCTCAAAGAAGAGTCCACCTGTGCTTTAAACACAGAAACCTAGAAAATTATTCTTCTCTTTAGGATCAGGCTGAGAAATTTGGGGCTGTTCAGCCTGGAAAAGGCTCCAGGGAGCCCTCATAACATCCTTCCAGGATCAGCAGGGAGCCTACAAGGAAGCTGGAGAGAACTCTTCATCAGGAACCATACTGATACGACAAAGAGGAATGACTTCAAACTGAAACAAAATAGGTTTAGACTACATATGAAATTCTTGCCCGTAAGGGTGGTGAAACCTTGGCACAGGATGCCCAGAAAAGCAGGGGCTGCCCCATCCCTGGAAGTGTTCAAGACCAGGTTGGACAGGGCTTGGAAAAAGCTGGTCTAGTGGAAGGTGTCCCTTCCCATGGCAGGAGGTGGGACTGGATGAGCTTTAGTCCCCTCCAACCCAAACCACTCTGTGAGTCTATATGATGATTCTATGAATCAGAATTCTCTTTTCTCATAATGCATGAATATTTATGGAAAATTTTCTTGCTTTTATTGCTTTACATTGCTTTTTCGCTATACAAAAAAGCCTAACAGAAAATTCCTTCTGCAAGCAAACAATTTATTAAAAATCTATTAACAATTTATTAAGAAACTGTTTATCCTCCTTCACTGTTTCTGGCTTTCTAGTTTTTATCATGGACCAATACAGCTCCCAGGGAATGCTCCTTTATTCTCTGAACAAATAAAAACACACAGACATAAAGGATTCTCCCAGCAACCAAGAGGCCAAAAATTATTTAGAGAAATGGAGCAAAAGCATACACATGTAACAAATATAATAAACACCATCATACAGTGTGTGTTTTAGAGCTCAGCACCACTTCTAGTTTACCCCATTTGCCCATTGTATTATTGGCTGAGGTTTGTTTCAACCACGCTCTTTTAGAAAGACTACCCCAAAACTGACTGATGCTTAAATGTCTTCTGGGACACCTCACAATGCAAACACCTTTTATTTCCTAATGGCAGCAGCAGTTTTGTGAGCTTGTGGGGTTTAATCAATCTATTCTGCATGTGAGCTGTTAAGGATATGCTGCTTTGCGTTCTCTAGTCTTCCCTAAATCCAGGGAGGAATTAGGGAACCTTAACACCAGACTTCTCCCACAATCCTGAGTGACAGGGCAGATATCACGTCATCTCTGGCCTTTTGGCAAGGGCGTGTTCTAAAACTCTGCACAGGAAACCACACCGAATGTACCTCCGGCACCTTGCTGAACCTACACCCGCGGTGATTTTGCTCTCCCTCTCCGTACAAATACCACAGCAGCAGCAGCAGCAGTCACATTCCCCTAAAGCACGACCCAGGCCCAGAGGCGGCCCCGGGCCCGGCCCCAGCGACCACAACCGGCCCCAAAGACCGCGCTGGCCCGCCGAGGGAGCCGCGCTCCGGCAGCTCGCGGCCCGCCACCCAGGGCAGCCGGAGTGCCAGAACCGCGAGCCCCCGAGCCCTGGGCCCGGCCCTGCCAGCCCGCTCGGCCCCGCTCACCCGCAGGTTGCCCTTGGTTCGCTGCTTGTTCTTGCCCCCCATGGCGGCGGCGGAGCCGGGAGCAGGGCCCGGCCGGAGCCACCGCGGGCACCCCGACACTTCCGGGGCGGGGCCGCGCGGCGCGGGAGGGAACCTGCCTCGGAGGGCCTCAAACTCAACAGTATCCTTTAAAGAAATAAACCTAAATCCATCGATCTTAAACTTCGAGCGTCCCGTGGGGCCTTTACGGAGCCGCAGCGTTCTTGTACAAAGACTTTGGATTTGGGAAAGTTTCACCCACGCTTGTCGAATGGTATCGCTGTGAAGTATTCCTACAAGAGGTGTGCAAGTCCGTACCAGAGTTAGCGATGAAAGTCAGCGATTTTACAGGATGTGTACAGAAACATTTAATCAATATTTAATAAAAATATTTAATCAAAAGAAACCAATGTCTGTTTTTTCTACCATGGGATTTATATACAGTATCTGCAAAATTAGCATTCATTGATACAACTTTGTCGAAATCCCACTCGAAAACACATGCAACATAATGCACTTCATATTACAGGACCGAAAACTTGGGAACTCAGAAGGCTGAGGATCGTTTCAGAGTTTTTGAGCATGCTATAAGGGAACCTGATCCTTGGTACACTGCTGCTTTTACACAAACCAAAATAACAGATGGAGTGGAAGCACCATGTCTTACCTGCACACACACTTTTAGCTACAGAAAATTCTTATGCCTTACAGCAGGCATCCTAACTCATCTTGGTAGCACGAGTAAGACTCTTGTAAACTTGCTCCCTCCCTTTGTTCTTTTTTTTTTAAATAAAATAATGATCTCATGGCTTACTAAACTTTCAGGTTGAAAGTAGAAGATTGTTTAGAAAAGAAGTTTTCATGAAGTAACTGTAAACAGTAACAATTAATGTAAACATTGTGTTCTCACTCCTGAGAGACCCACACTGCAATTTTGTCTTTTCTTATTTGTATATTCATTCACCATATTCCATCTGTTCATCCATCTACAATTCTGCAACTGTCCAGTAGGTTTTCAAACACATTTTCTTTCATTTTGAGTAGGTATGTATCCTAAATCTTCTTAACACCAGAAAGTGCATAAAGGATTCATATAGTCATTTTCATTATTTAGGATTTCGCTGGATATTTGTTTATATTGAAAACTGGATTCATCACATGAATCATGAATTATTAATTCCCTCTCTGATCAACTGTTGCAGAAAAGCTAAGGAATCTGTTAAGATTACATTAGAAATGTAGCTGCTGGGGTCTCTGCTGATCTTCAACTCTTTGAATGCCCTTCAACCCCAAAGTACATTTGAAATATGTCAGCACATCCTTTTTCTTCTAAAAAATTATATAGTTGCCCCAAGTCCATATGATTTCCCCGAGCACCATGTGCATCAAAACATTTTTCTTCCAAAGTGGGGAACTTCCGTTGCTTCTGGATCTCAGCATGTCCTCCACCTTCCAAAGAAACATCTTCTCTGTGCCGAATAAGGATTCTTTTCCATGTTAGTCTTCTTATCCTGAAAGCAATTGAAGAAATATTAATCTACCTATAAAATAAAGACTGTTTTGGGAAATACTATGGAATAAATACTATCACAAAAGTCAGTCAATTCCATTTGTGTATATATATCTTGACAGAGATAATGGTTCATGAGCTGGTCACAGAAATACTACTCACATGCAAACACTCTCATAAGCAGAAGCTTGGGGGTTTTTTATCTCCTCAGGACTGGAAAACTTTAATGCTATTCCTCACAAAATAATTAACGAGGATGTGGTTTCTATTTCAGGGCTCACTTCTGTCTTTCCTGTGCTAAGAATTCTCATACACTCCTAGCTGATACAATCAAATTACAATGCTTATTTAGTCTGCACCATCCAGAAGTATAAGAGATGTAAGCAGAATTAAACACAAATGTAAAATGATATAACAGCACACATATCTAATACAACTGGGGTACTGCAGTTCATCTCTATAAAAGTGAAACACAGAGGAAAATAAAACAGAAATAAATGTGCATCCTGCAGTACCAGTTTCTTTAACTATTGCAACCAACAGTACAGTGGATATTCAGAGTTGTACATGCATTATTATAAACACAAATACTTTACAGATCTTCACAGCTTGGCAGGTGGTTGAATTTCCCACCTTCTGGCCACATGTACAACATGACAAAATGCAATATTCTAACTACTAATGGCATTTAAGTATAAAGAAGAACTAACCTTGACCAGAACTCTTCACAACTACTTTGTAAACCTTCTACACAAACAACACCTGGTTTCCCTGGCATGCAAAACCCTGACAGAGAGAGTTCCTTGGCCCAGTCAATAATATTTTTTCTTTTTTGCTTGTTGTAAATGTGATGACTGTAGATCCACAATCGAGTGAAGATGGTGACTTCTGGCTTTGTGGCATCTGAGGCTGTCATTGGGAAGGATGAAAGATCTTTGTCAATGTAACCAGCTGCATGGTCTTTCACCCATTCCCTCGCACTCAGCATGCAGGGCTCGCCACTGAAGTTTTGCATCAAGTATGTTTTTAGATCAGAGTTTAGGAGAATCTGCTGAGAGCGGCTTAAAAATGATGACCTAAAGAAAAATATAAATGCATATAAATATATATGTGTTTACAACTTACCATGTTTTTAAAAACACAGAATAACAGAATCCTTAGGTTTAGAAAAGACGTCCAAGATCAAGTCCAACCTTTGACCGATGATCACCTTGTCAACCAAACCAGTGCACTGAGTGCCATATCCAGTCATGCACTGACCACCTCCAGGGAAGCAACTCCAGCACCTCCCTGGACAGCTCCTTCCAATGACTGACCAACCTCTCCATAAAGAAATTCTTCCTTATGTCCAACCTGAACCTCCCCTGGCACAGCTTGAGGCCATTTCCTCTTGACCTGTCACTGGTTCCCTGGGAGAAGAGGCCAATCTCCACCTGCCCACAGTCTCCTTTCAGGTAGATCAGGTAGAGAGTGATAAGGTCCCCCCAGTCTCTTTTCCCCCAGGATAAACCACCCCAGCTCCCTCAGCTGCCTCTCATTAGGACTTGTGTTCCAGACACTTCCCCAGCTTCATAACTTTTGAAAAGTTTTGCTTCAAGTTGCCAAGAAAATCAGACATAGCTAGGCAATACACACTTGCTATTGATATTTAACTCATATTAGCTATGAAAACATCTTAATAATTATTTAATTGGTGTGCTAGCTCTTGAATTCACAAACAGCACTACCAATCTGTAAAATAAAATCTTGCTGAGCACAACAAGAGAAATCATAAGCTTGTATATTTGTTTTTTCTTCAGCACTGTTGTCAACCTGTCTTAATTTGGCAGTAAACCATCAAAAAAAAGGACTGCTTTCTGTGATCATAACCGTATTTGTGCAATACACTCTAACTTATAAATGTTTTTATTAGCAGTTGTACCTCACAGTAATTTCTGGGAGAACAGTTGGATATTTAAATGGTAAAGCACAGGCCATAGAGAATTCCACCTAAAAACAAATGAGGAAATGTTTACTTCATGTAAGCCATAAAATCCCACATAGTAGTATTAAAAAAAAAAAAAAAAAAAAAAAAAAAAAGAAAAGTTGTTTACAATACCGTAGAGGCATTAGGCATCTCCTTCTTTACATTCAGTATAAACTGAACTTTTGAAGATGGCACCTCTGCAGACTCATTTTCAACATAGTGTTTCAGTTCAGCTAGAGCCAGTTGGTCTGTGACAGCAAACTCTTCCTCATAAGGAAACATGCTAGACAGTAAATCTAACTCTGAAATTTGTATCTCTGCTTCTTCTTGGTTGGCCATTTTTGTTGTTCCCTGAGCAAAGAAAAATATAGGGAAGAAAGACATGGCTTGAATATGGGACAAAGTTCATTAACTACTCCTATGCAAATCATGTTACAGAATCACAGAATACACTGAGTTACAAGGAACTCACAAGGATCCTCGAGTCTGACTTCTGGCCCTGTACAGGACAATCCTAAGAGTCACATCCTGTGCCTGAAAAGCATTGTCCAAATGCTTCTTTGCATTTGGCCGGTGCAGTGACCACTTTCCCGGGGAGGCTGTTCCAGTTCCCAAGCACCCTCTGGGAGAAGGAACCTTGTTTTTAAACATCCAACCCTAAACCTCTCCTGACTTCATGCCCTGCCCTCGGGTCCTGTCACTGGTTGCCAGAGAGTGCCTGCCCCCCCACTTCCCCTCCCGAGGACGCTGTACACTTAACACACATTAATAGCTACGAACAAGCCCATCATAACCGGCTCGTGTCTGCCACGCAGTCTGGGTCACACACACTGACAGCCCACGCAATTTCCACTGCCCTGAGGTGGGACAGGGCGCGCTGGTGTGTTACCAAACCAACGCCTTCCACAGAGGGCCGCTACTCGGGTGTCCGGAGCGCTGGGGAGCCTCCCCTGCCCCTCGAACGCTCCGCCACCACTGCGCTCCCCCGCGGCCCACACTGGACAGGAAAGCGAGCAGGTGTGGCGCCCGCGCATGCGCGTACGCATCCCTCACCCCACCCCCGGTCACGGCCCCACAATGCAGCGCGCCAGAAGCACGCATGGCAGCCGATGACCGCCGCCTCTCCACCGGTTATTGAGGTAAGAGGTTGTCGTCTGCCCTGTCTGGTGGAGTCATGCGCCACCAAGTTGTTCGCCCCGCCGCACCGACAGGTGAGGGACGGGAACCCCCCAGGGCTGCCGCCGCGCTCCTACCGCCGCCGCCACTCTCTTCCCAGTCCGGGACCCGCTCCGCCGGCGCACTGCAGCTGTCCTTTCGACCGGGACTTGTGGGGCTCCTGATTGGCTGCGGCAGTTGTCGGTCATGGCGTGGGCCAATCGGAAGCAGGCAGGGCCGGGTCATGGGGCCGGGCATTGGGGCTGCGGGGTTCTGGGCTCGCCTGCAGCCGGGACGGGCAGTGCCGGCTGGGGACAGCGTCCTGCCTGCTGCCCGCCACAGGCCGGGGCTGCCCCGAGCGAGCCTCTCTGGGCCTTCTTCCAGAGTGTCAAATGCAGGTGCGCGTTTGGTCGTTTACAGACCGCTCTATATTATTTAAAAAAAATATATAAAACCCTTCAGTCGTTTAGGCTGTGGCGTTCCTCGTGAGGGCTTTGCCGTGGTGCAAAGCCAGTCGGACTGGTCTGCCCAGGCATGGCTTGGGTTAAATTAACAGCCCCACGTGGTGATGCTGTCCTGCATTCCCGGCAGGAGCAAGGACAATTTGGAAAGGATTTTATTAATTAAAATTGTTTATACAAGATCAAGTGTTGTAGCTTTTTGCAGAAAAATGTGTTGGGTGAACAGTTGCTCCTTTTTCTTAACAAGTTGAATGCTAAGTTGCAAAAGTTGGTAATTCTGCTCTCGGTGACGTGGCTGTCAAGCCACCATGAACAATTGGGTCATCTGCCCTGAGAGTATGGTCATGCAAACATGCTCGTGTTTGTAAATGGCCTTTCATACAAAACGTCCTCTGCGAGTATCAAGCCTAAGCTCTCCCTAGCTTAATTTTTGTCTTTGATTTTTTTGGTATGACTTAATTATTTTGGCTTTGACAGCTCTAAGCAGACAGTTTTGCCCTGGGGCATGTGTGCTGCCACGTGCAAGCAAAGAAATTAATTTGGAAGGGTGGACTAATACAGATTTAATGCTGCTTGTGTTTATGTGAAGGGGGGACAGCAGGGTTAACCTAGCCTGCAAATATTACAGAGACTTGATTTTGAACCCTTTTAGCTTCCTTGTTTTCATAGTACAATGTGAGTTTTAAGTTTACCTGAGACTTTTGGATTATCTTTTGTCAGGTAAGGTACAGGGACTGTGGACTTGTGGAGACCCTGGGGGGCATTCCCTGGTTTAGGGAGACACAAGAAACTTACCTCAAATAGCTGTTAAGGCCCCATTGGCTCGTTCCCCTGCTCCTATGTCCCTGAGCCACTCCCTCCCTATTCCATGATTGATCCTTATCTGTCCTGCCCCGAGACCAGGCTCAGCCCCAGGCCCCTCAGAGACTGATAAGCTTCGACCCTTTACGTGTGTGTGCCGGGGACCTGATCTTACTGGGCAGCTGAATAAAACCTCTGTGGATATTATGCAAAGGCCCTCTTTGCTTCTTTACCCTGGACTTTACTAGCAGCAATGCAGGCTGCCACACAGACTAAAAAGTAAAAATGTTCTACATGTGTGCAGTAGCCACCTGTCTGAAGCAAAGCACTTGGGTTAGGACTCTAAAGTGGAAGATCTCTTGTTGAGAAGGGTCCACAGGTATAGTGGATAACAGACCTGTCTGAATTATTTGCTTGATATGTGGGGAAGGTGATGATAAATCTTCCCCAGAGAAGAAATTGAGAAATCGGAATTCCCATGGTCTGTGTATTTTCAAATACGTCAAGAGTATTTTACTTGTGTCAGATTTCATCAAAGACACAGGAAATTTGCAGTCAACAAAATAAAAAGGTTGCAAATTCTTCAAGATTGAATTGGGACAAAACCAATTCTTTTCCATTAAATTCCTGTGGTGTTACTTTAAGTCCTTAAGGTTTATAGGATTTTTGATAATGAAGTTTCCAGCTTTATAATTTTGTGCAATGCTTTTGATTTAACATTTTAAATCATTTGGGTTTTGTAATTCACACTGTGATCTTTTCTATTCAACAGTTATAATTGTTTCATGTTAAACTATAATTAATATTTTTTTTGTTTTGAAAATGTCAAAACAAGTTATTTCACCTCAAGGGACAGCTTTGCCGTAGAAATAACATGTGTAGCAATGAAGAAGGACAACTAAAACTACTTTCTAATCTTACTCTTTTTCTTTGTTAGGTCACTCTTCCTTTTAGGGACAATTACAGACAGCAAATATGGGCAAGAAACGCATCAAAGGCAAAACTGCACAGTCTGATGAGTCCTCGGATATACTGAGTATGTTTCCTTGAAGAAGTTTGTGGACCTAATGTTTTTTTAACCTCAAAGAAGGCTTGAAAGCTGATTAATATTAGAAGGCGTTCACATTACTCACTGACTTTGAAGTCACATGTACAAAATCTGGATTTTTAATTGAAACCCAAGTCTAGCAAGAAATATTGTTGTCATGACTTTTCTAAGTATGCTAGAAAATAATAATCCTGTCTTAAAAACTGAGATTAGTTTCTGGTTTTTTAAGAAACTCAAACACACAGTTCTTTACTGATACAGATTGTGTAAAATTACTCAGAATATAAAGGGTTTGTGGAGTCAGCTGCCAAGCTTAAGTTGCATTTTCCTAGTGAAAAGTTTGTTGCAGAAGATTCTTGCTTTAGCAGTAAAAGCTGTGACTAAAATATTTTCATGAAGCAGTTTGCCTTTATTCTAGCAGCTGATTTGGTACTGACACTGGACACTTCAGCTCTCATAGTGTATTTTGGTTAAAATCTCTTCTTTCTGTTCCAAATAGTTGCTAATCCCAGATACTAAATTTTATTCTCCTAGCTCCATTGGATCTCACCTGTGAAATTTTTTTTTGTCTTGTTTACCTTGGTTATTGTAGCTGTTTTTTACTTATGTTGTGTAGCATTCCCTTCTACCACCTTATCTGCCAGGTCACAGATTGTGTCTTTCTCAGCTTTTCTGGGGAAGTGATTTGAACCAGATTAATTTAGTTGGGGGAGAGAGGACTTACAATTTGAGGAGGCTTGGTGGGATGGCCTGTTTAAGTACACTGTGCTTTGGTTTCCTGATTGTCCTGATCTTCTTGTGTTAGCTTCTGTCTCTAATGGATGCCTTTTTTTACCTGCTTTTGTCTGGTTTGGTTCTTGGGGATGTTGGGGGCTTGTTTCCTGGAGTCAGGGTCAATGTCTACTGTAACTGTTTCCTCTTTTTCTCCTGCAAAGAGACCGGTTATGTTCTAGTTGCTGCTGGCATCTCAATTTTTTGCCTATGAATAGGTTATCTTATGACGACAAAGACCTGTAAAGCTACAAATGAAACTAAGACTAATCATGGTGAATAATTCCACTGTAACTGTAGTTGTCAATATACAAAATTTTTTTGTTTGTTTTTTAAAGGACAATTTTGTAGATGAAGCTTATGTTTTTCAGAAAGGCTAAAAGAATGCTGAATATCTGTGTTTGTCTTTTGTTGGCTAGCATTTGCACTTTCATGAAATCCTGTAATCTTGGACGGAAACAGAACTGGAGGTACAAAATTTTGCACCAATTCCAGCTTATGCCAATAGAAGTTTGCAACCTTGAGGCTGTAATCTTGCCTCAACAAAGATAGTTGGAGAGCTGTCACACTATCTGAGCAATAAAAACAGCTCAAAGTTTAGAATGCAGCAACAGTATACCCATATTGTCAATGGTGGTAACAAAAGGTTTCTTTCTGATACTCTGATAAATTGTCTGTGTTTCATTGGCTCTAGAAAGACTATCCTAGCTTCTGGATTACTGCCAGTCTCTTCAAGCTTGCATTTGTTATGCTACCTACATCCTTCTTGTGCTTTTTACTTTGTAGAACCTGTGTGCAAGCATATTCGTAAAGGAGTGGACCAAGGGCATGTGAGAAAGTCGCTGCAGAATGTGGAATGGCATGTTTGTCAGGACTGCAAGGCAGACAGTAAGACACAAGAGAAGGCTGAGGAGAAGGAGACTGATGAAGGCACTTCAATATGGTTATGCCTAAAATGTGGCCATAGGGTATCTCTTTTGTTGTTAATTTGTCTTAATACCGTTCAGTGTCTCATAATGCAATGGAACAAGAGAGTTTCTAATTAAACTCTTGTATTCTCTTTTTTTGTTGTAAAGATGGTGCTACCTAGATGACTTTATATACTGTTGAGTGTGATTTAAAAATGTCTGCTCTGAACGTCAAATGAAGTATTTGGAAGATGGCTTAAAGACATTTAGCAGGCTTAAGGCTAAAACAGCCTTGAGGACTGGTTTTCCTAGAAAATTTGAATTATTTTGCAGAGAAAATAAAAATACTCCTAATCTGTATTAGGGGTATTTTTACAAGATCTTAATGCTCATGTTAGTTCATGAAACTTAGAACTCTGCATGCTGAAGATGTTTTGGTTCTGTTTCGTTCTTTCAGGTGTTTAGACTGGAATTCATTCATTAAATGTTCAGTCCCATAGCAGCTTTATTCTGCACCCAGTAATTCATCCATCTGCAGAAATAAATATTTTGAAATAGATATCCATCTGTTGACCCCAATTAATTTAACGTAATTGAACAGTTTTGATTGTAATACTTTGTTTTTACTCTGACTTTATGTATGTTTCATTGGCAGTCAAATGGATTTTGTGACACTTGTGGTTATCAATATTGTAGGGCTGTGGCAGAAATTCTCCAGACCAGCATGCTTTAAAGCATTATGAAACACCAAGATCAGATCCCCACTGTTTGGTTCTCAATTTGGACAACTGGAGTGTGTGGTGAGTTGTCAGGCAGCACAGGACAGAGCTGGAGGGCAACAGAGGCTGGAATATAATTTGTCCTTTCTTTGGGAATTCTGAGATTTCTCTCTAGGCATATATTGAAATGTTTCCAAACATGTAATTTCCAGCAGTCTTTGCTGAGATTTGCAAAATAAGTGTTATTTTCTTGTAAAATTTATGATGAGAAAATTTTCATAATTGACGTTGAACTTGACCAGCTAGTAAATGTTGTTGACTTAATATTTTACTGTTTTTTACTTGGTCAGAATACTGACACATGGACACAAGTGTTGATCAGTAGCTCCAAATCTTAAGTTTTGACCTTGGGAGAAGGCTCTTTCTGATGTGCACTTAGCCACAACCT